CGCGTCGAGAGAGAATTTCGGCGGGAGGTTTTCGGCCGTTCTCGTCTTCCTGGGCGCCCGGGGTACGACACGAACCTACCGTGCGCGGGGGGGGGGCGGGGGCTCACCCCACAGAGTTTCGCGACGGCGCGCACAGAGGGGGCGGCACGGTCTTGGACTTTACTTGAGATTCGGGCGTGGCATCTTGTTGACCGGGCGTTTTCGCCCAGGTTTGGGCCCCGAGACCATCACAGGTCGATCGGGCTTCAGAACTGCCAGCGGTCTGGGGCTCCAGTCGTGGACCTTCGCGGCGTAGCATTTTTGGCGCCCTCCATTCTCCCTCTTCCCCCTTCTCCGTCTCTCTCTTCAAGCCTCCTTGTCCGCTTGTTCGTGCATTCTGTGTTCAAGGATGCCTTCGGCAGGGACGGTCCGTGGGGCCAGCAGCACTCTAGGACGACCCAGTGGGACGGAAGATCATTCCTTCGGTCTCTTGCAGTACGGAAGTTGTCGTCCTGGGCTGCCTGACCCTCGAGGGCCCAAACTCGGATCTCCTCCAGCATTGCATTATCTATCTTGACCTGATGTGCGCGATCCTCGTGGCACGAGCGGGCATACATTGGCAGAGCTAGAGAGGTGAGCAGACCAGGAGAAGGGAGCGGGTCGCCGGCGTGGGCCGTGCGCCTCGGGGGCTAGGCGTGGTGGCCAGGCGCTGGTGCGTAGTCGGCAACGCCCCGAGGCGACGGTGCTCCACGTCGAGGCACCGACGTCGCCATCAGCTGAGGCGGCGGCTCGCACCATCGGCTGAGGCGGCGGCGCTCACAGTCACCAGCGGGTCGTCGCCCCGCCGAGGTGTCGACCGTCCTGTGGATGCCAGCGCTCGAGGAAGAGAAACGGCGGAACCGTAAACTGTCGACGGTCCGCGCGGATTTCTTGGATCTGCGCTGGGCTCCACTGGCGGCGCCCCTGGACCCGCTCCTGGCGCGCTCCGCGCGCCACGGAGGGAGGTCCAGTGCAGATCCAAGACATCCGCGCGGACCTTCACAAGATTATGTTTACACAGTTCCTTTGCCCTGTAAGTGCCGTTCGGCTGGCATGGCCACGGGGCCACTCCGAATAGCACTTGGAATTCGATTGGCCCCTAGCCTGCTCGGCTCAGGGGCAGGCGCAACCTCAAGGCAAGGCTGCGCCAGTCTGAGAGCTGGCGCCCGTCCTCGGGCGGTATGGTGTTTGGATGGGCTCAAGGTGGTTTGAGGAGAAAGATGAGAGAGAGAGGGGGGACAGTGAGAAGGAGGAGACCTTCACAGAAGGCTCCGAAGGCATTCAGCTTTCTGAGAAGTTGTCTGTGCCTCCCTCGAAGTCACGGAGGCACGCCGCTTTCTGAGAAGACACCCTTTCTCTCACTCCCCCCCTCGGTTGCCGCCGATGTGAGGGCCCGAGTGGCTGAACGAAGTAAGCCCAGAAGAGCCCCAACCAATTTAGGTTAGAAAGCCAGGGTGAAGCCAAACTGACGCAAACCTAGAATGTCAGTTGGCATCGAATGGTGCCTCAAGGGGCGCAGAGTGGATACGGAACGGACGCTTACGGGAAGGCGATTGTCCTTTGGAGAGGCGCCGTGATATTTTAGACAGAGAGCTTCACTAATGCGGCAGGTAACCTTATATCAGATGGCGCCATGGAACAAAAAGTATATTTTTACGCATTATGCATGAACTTGTTGTCATACGCGTGCTTTGTTTTATGTATTCGTTGCTTCAGCAAAATAATCGCGTATGTACAGACTGCACCCGTATATACGAACTACACGCAGAAATAGCGCGTGTACACATGTACGGTTAGTGCACGTCTATTAGTCGTAATGTAGGTCTGCCGTGCGTGCGAGCTTTCGTTCCCGCCCCGAATAATCAAGACGGTTCACGACTTCAGGCAATGCGCTGACAGCCAGCATTCGACGTAGGCCGCATACATGTCTCTCCCAACCACAGCAAGTTCTTAAGCCAACTATTGTGGTATAGTGTGCATCCTCTTCGAATCGGTACGTGGGCTCGGCTTCCTCTTAAAACGGGCAGTGCAGAACGTGCATCGTGTCTGGCATCTCAGTTGGCAATGCGTTGGATCAGCATTCTAAGAGGTGTTGTAATCCGAGCTCACGTTCAAGTCGGTTCGTAAGCCCGAGATGTCGTAAGCCCGTGCTCGACGCGCCTCGGGTCGATGTGACGCTCAAGTTGGCCCTCTGCTCGATTAGAGGCGTGCTCTTACACGTGCCCCTCGGGGCTTCACAGTTACAGTGTTGCCCAACATGTTGGCACATCGTAGCGAAATATTGATGCTCCGCGTATCCCCACCAGTCTTTTGACCCGCTGGTTCTACCTGCTCGCCGTCTGGCTTTGCTGGGCCTCTTAGGTTTCTCCCCTTGCATGTGCATCCCGGCGTTGGCTTTTGGCCCGCTGGTAATTATCTCGCTTGGCTTCACGCTTGCCCTCTTTGGCGCTTGTGCACTCCAGCGTCGGCTTTTGGCCCGCTGGTTTTTTTCTTGCCCGCTGGCTCATGCTAGTTCCGTCCCCGTGTGCACTCCGGCGTTGGCTTGTGGCCCGCTGGCAATTATCTTGCGTGCTGTTCCATGCTCGATACGACCCGCTCTCTGGAACCGTCCTTGGAGCCGCAGATCAAAAAAAGTATCCCCACCAGTGAGGGGCATCTTGTCCCTGGCACGTGCATACGCCACTGCGGCCAATTTTACGTCGTACCGCACCCCGGACGTTGTGCCCGCTCCTTGTCCCTCGCCTTGGAGCCGCGAGCCAAAAAAAGTATCCCCACCAGTGCCCCTGGCCTTCTGCCTTCTGCAGGCAGCTCAGCCAGCTTCCCTCCAGCTGCACCCCCGCCGGCGGCTTCTTCTGAGTGCGGGTTCGGCTGCTTCGCTTTAGGCTCGTGCGTGGCCAATGTGGCAGGCCCGTGGCCCGGACCTCTCCTTCGGAGACTGCGTCTCCGCGTCCGCCCGCGACCCCCCCAAAAAATATCCCCACCAGTCTCTCAGCTCGGCGACTGCGAATCCGCGTCCGCCCGCGACCAAAAAAACGTATCCCCACCAGTTTTCCGACAGCTGCGCTGTGCCTGACCTTCACTTTACGACCCGTTTTGACGGCGCGCAGCTGCCTGCGTCGCTCGCGAGGAAAAAAATATCCCCACCAGTCCGCCACAGCCTGGCCGTGTCTGCCGTTGCCGCCGGCTTGGCGGGACCCTGCCCCATTGGTTTACTTAGGGGTGGTCCAGTCTTTTTGGTTTGCCGCGTGCTCGTCCCCGCCGCCTGCAGCTTAGCACGTTGGGTTGTTTATGCAGCCCCGCGCTTCGCCACGCTTGTGGCGCGTTGACGCTGGCGCCGGGTGCGACAATGTTCAATTCACCCTTCCTGGTGGTGTCGCCTCTGGGATACCCGCACGCTTGCCTGGCTTTCCTGGCAGCTCGTGGCAGCGCCTGCAGCCTCAGCCCTCGGCGCAGCTCAGCGTCCATCGGCGGTATTTCTGCAGCCGCCTGTGCGCGCGCTAGGTTAATTAATTAGACTTGCTCGTAGCCCGAGCTGACTTGTGACGCCGCTGTGCACCTTCGCCTGCGTCTGCGACGCAAAAAATCTCCATCAGCCCGACTCCTGGACGGCGTCTGGCGTCTTTTGGTGCGCTTGCGATCAAAAAAGTATCCCCGCCAGCCCATCCAGCAACGATGCCCAGGCGACTGTCTTTGGTCAGGGACGTGGGGCAGCATGCAGTGGGACACAAACATATGGAAGCCGAGCGAGCCTCTTGGAAGCCTCGTGACGCCATCTTGGAGCAATGTTGGCTGCGTTTTTTTGCCATCTGGAACCCTCTTGGGGGCCTCTCGGGGTTCCTTGCTGGAGATGTTGGGGCCCTCTTGGAGCGATCTCGGGGGGGGCATGGTTCCAAAAGAGCGAAAACTGTTTCCGCTCCCCCCCCCCCCCCCCTTGGGAGGATGACAAATCGCCTCTTAGGGGCATCTAGGGTCTATGGTGGAGTTTTCTTGAGCCACTTGGGGTGCATCTTGAGGCTTCGAAGGCCCATCGGAAGCGAAACGGCGAGGAAGCAAACCACATTGAGGCCGTTTCGGCGTTGGGAGGGAGATTTGTTTGCTTCTTGGGAGGGGCCCTGGAGGGCTCCAACTTATCACTGTGCCATCACATCCACTTTCACGTCTACCTTTCCCTATTTACACACAAATGATGGTCGAACTCATGATGTGTTTGGTGGTAAGGAATGCCAGCGTAGTCCTTGTCACCGTCGCTGCGTATAGGCAGAAAGTCGTTGTTGCGACCGTGTGCACCAAGCCACCGCCAAGCGGTCGGCTGACAGACTGTCGCCAGCGCGCTACTACTGTCCGCAGCCTGGTCTCGTTGCTTCATGCACGTGCACGACTAATAACGATGCTCCATCTCATGTTGGGATCCCCGCCTCGCCATGACGCTTCTAGAAGGCGCTGTCTGCGGTGGAGGGGGCAAAAAAGAGGTCGCAGGCAGGCCAGGAGAGGAGCAATGACGGGCTGGCGCGCCTGGCCGGGGGCCAAGCATCACTGGAGCAAACCACCATTGCATTGCGTGTCAGCGGGCACCCTAACGGACACAAGCACAGTAGGCAGAACATAGCAAAGGAGAGAGAACGATGGACCACTGCACGGGTGGATGAATCGAAACAGCGGACAGGTGCATCAGGCATGCAGGACGGTTGGCAGACGTGCTGCTCGGCACGTGTACGGGGGGATGGGATTGGTTGGTGGCGTGGCCCCAGGTACTCCAGATTTCGCAATAAAGGGAGGGGGGTCTCATTTCGGGGGGGGTCTTTTCCAGGCTATCTTGGAGGGCCTGGGGGGGTCTGGGGACGATGTTTTGGAGGGTTCTCCCATGGGGGGGGTCTGAAATGGCTTGTCTTAGAGGGTCCAGACCCCCTCCTTTTTATTACGACATCTGGAGTAGTTTTCGTCTGGACACCTTCTGTTCACCATGGGCAAACCATTTCCCCCGCCAAGCACGGCTCAGGCCACCGCCTCTGCGCACAACGGCGGCGCGCCGAGGGCCGAGCTCTCGCCGCGCCGTGCGCCCTTCCGGCCCCCCGGGCACATGTTCGCGTCGTGCGGCCTGTCGTCGGCGCGGGACCCGGACGCGGGCGTCGCGCAGGAAGTTGGCAGCACGCCACGGGAGCCTCGTGTGCCAACTGTTCGTCGATTGGTTTGATGTTTCCTTGATGTTCTTTGATTTCGATGTTCTGATTTGATTTTTTGATCTTTCATGTTCCTTGAGTTTGATTTTTCCTTGATCTTCTTGATTTGATGTTTCCAATTGTACCCTAATCATTCGGATGTTCTTTGATTTTTTTGGGGGGCCCGAGGTCCTTTCATTGCTAATTGTTCTATCCTGTGCCTCTTCCTGGCCACCAGGGGGCGGGGAGCAATCAGAAACGAGCACAGTTAGAAATTAGCACGATCAGAAGGGAACGACGTGTACCATCGCAAGTCTTTCCTTGAGCGTCGATCAGCGTCTGGGAGTCCATGCGATAGCGCCGAATCCGCGTCGATTCGCGTCGATGTAGCGTCAATTGGCGTCGAATCCGCGTCGACTGGCGTCGGCTCGCATGAGCCGCCACTAAGCACCGAGGGTCCCATGAGTTGCCACCGAGCAGGAGCTTGGAGAGTTCACGGATCGCCAGCTGGCGCAGCTGCGCGACGTCATCGAGGAGTCCTTCAGGGCCGTGGTCCGGTCGGAGCTCGGGGCGGGCACGGGGGGGCACCATGAAGCATGCCACCAGGATCCTCCTTGTGGTCCCCGGCATTCCCAAGGCAGAGCTCTTTTCGATTCCTCGGATTTGATTCGATTCGATTCGATTTCAATGGCTTCCGATTCCGATTCGATTCGACTTCGGATTCCGTTTTGGGCTCCGATTCCTTTCTGGAGGCGTACAAGCTTGCCGATTTCCCCCGATTCGACTTCTCTCGACTCGGCTTCCGATTTCCGCCGATCCGATTCATTTCGATCGCCGATCCGACTTGTCGATTCGATTCTGGGCTCGCCTGCCAAGGCGAAGACCTCGGCGGCGTGGTGGAGTGTAACGGAGGCCAAGCCAGGCACTGCGGGCCCCGTCTTTCGTCAGTCGACGGCTACGTTGCAAATTCAGCGGGGTTGCAGGGGTCGGATTGCCCGACTCGGTCGCGGGGAGCGTCAGTCGCCTCATTCGAGTTGGGCCCGAGGAAGATTGTGAGAGGTAGGACTGTGGAGGCGAACAACACAGTGAAAATCCTTGACGAGATTAGGGGGTCAGGTGGGCCAGTGAAAATGAATGGGTCAGAATTCCCGACGCGGAGTTGGGTTATGTCGTGGTACATAGCACTCAAATGTGCGTGCTTCAGGCTGGTCCACCGCAACCAGTACTTTGATCCTGTCATGGGTGTAGTGATAGTTGCGAACTCGGTGGTCATCGGTCTCGAGACACAGCTCCGAATGGACAGTGAAGGTGAGGAGCCTCCACAATTGTTCTGGATTGAGTCGTTCTTTCTCGTCTGCTTCGTTTCAGAGCTCATTGTGCGATGGTTGTCCGACGGATCGAAGAACTTATCCTCTGGTTGGTTCTGGTTTGACTCATCTCTAGTGGTCACCGGTGTGATCTACACTTGGATCATCAACCCCATTCTGGCCGCAACTTCCCAGGACGTACCAATCATCTCCCAGATTCTCACCCTGCGGGTGCTCAGATTGATGCGGTTGGTCAGGGCATTGAGGTTGATGGAGCAGTTCAAGGAGCTGTGGAAGCTCTGCAGTGGGCTCCTCAGGTCGTCCCGCACGATGCTCTCCGTGTGCCTCCTGGTCTTGATAGCTGTATTTGTCTTCGCTTGCCTTGGGATCGATCTAATCAGCACCTCGCCTAAACTCAACAGCAACGAGGAAACGCGAGCGATCATCGAGGTTCACTTCTCGAGCCTGATGGTGACAGTCCTCACCCTGATGCAGTTCGCCAATGCCGATTCCCTCTCGAGCGTATACTTGCCGCTGTGTACAGAGGAGCCCGCTCTGGTGTTTTACTTCCTGGTCATGTGGCTCGTCGTGACCGTGGCCCTCATGAACCTCTCCCGCCGCCTGCGGCAAGCCCCGCCGCCGTGCCAGCGCAGCAGCGCAGCGGGAAGGATCGGGGCGCACGTCCCTGGGGATCAGCGCTCACGGGGGACGGCCAGCCCCCTCCGAGAGATCCTGTGGCTGACCCGGGCTCTGGAGCCACCCGGAGCCGACCCCACTCTCCCGCCCTCGACTGACCTGGGTTTTGGAGCTAGTCTTAAGTCGGGCCTGTCCCTCTACAGGGGGAATGTCCAAAAATAGTCCGAAACTAGTCTGGGATTAATGTTTGAGTATTTTCGGGCATCGTTTGAGCATTTCTTTGGGTATTATTTATTTTTCGTCCAAATTTCCCCTGTAGGGGGACAGGCCCGACCTGAAGCTAGTTCTTGGCTGGCCCGGGTTCTCGACGTGGCCTGGGCTTGCGCTCACACGGGTTGGTGCGTTCTCGAAATTATGTTGAAGAGTTGTGTTGTTTTTGAGCTGGCGCGGGTCTTGAGTGCCTCCTCTCATCAAGAATGGTCGAGCCCCTAACCCTGATAACACATTGAAGGCGCACGCGGACTTACGCCTTCACCTGTGCAATTGGCCAAAACAATTGTGGCGGGTTTGGCTGGAGGCATCTGCAAACAAAGACTTCATATCCCGAATGCGTTGGTCCTCCTAACTTAGGTCCTCTCACACAAGGGTTAGGGGGTCCGTTAGGTGCCAATCATCATCCTTGCTTTCCTTACTCTCTCATTATTTATCATATTCCTCTTTTTCATCAACATCCGTCCCTCTTCACGGCGCTCCGAAGGCTCATCGTGGGCTTTGGGCGCCTCTTGAGGGCCTCTTGAGGGCCTCCTAGGGATCTCTTGGGGGCTTTTTGAGGCGCAGTTTGGGGCCCGTCAGGGGTCTATGGGGCTGTTTGAGGCGCAATCCTCCAACACAGGCCGCAGGGCTCTCCTGAAAATGCTTGGTTTATTCATCTCGGGGTCGTCCAGGTGGTTGTGGGAGTCATCGTGGCTCGGCTGCGAGTTCGGAGGGGCAGTGAGAGGGGGCATGCCTTTCCAGAAGGCGGCGGGGCTTCCCAGAAGCCGTCGCGGCTTCTGAGAAGCCTTGGAGGCCTTCTTCGAGGCCGCAGGCGGCCTCTCAGAAGGCCAGAGGGCCTCTGAGAGCCCCCCCCGCCTTCTGAGAAGGCCAGCCCCTTCCTCTCACTTCCCCCCTGGGCTCGCCGCCGATTGACGCCCTCTTGGGAGATTACCAGGCTAGGTCGGAGTTGTATTGGAGCGCTCTGGAGGCAGTTATGGTATCCCCGAAGCTGGCCCGAGGCGACCTGAAACCAAGACGCATCGGACGCAAAGGACATTGGCTTGCTTAGTCTTTATCCCACCCCCATGTGTTTCCCAACCTTGCTGTGCTAGTCGGGACTTCGTTTTGAGCTAGCAGTGCCCTGTCTCCTTCCTTCCTCGTCCTCGTTCCCCCATCCTCTTTCCTCTGCGCTCCGCATGCCCATTCTGGCACACCCCTCGCACGCTTCGTGGCCCCACAGGGAGCTCCACCGAAGCCCCCAGGGTGTGTTGCCGCATAGCCATCCACGAACATTTGGCACACGCCTCACACTTTCCGTGGCACCACAGGGAGCTCCGCCGAAGGCCTCAGTGGCAAGGTGCCGCATAGCGTTTCCCCCCAAATTGCGGAACACCCCTCACACGCTTCGTGGCCCCATCGGAAGCCCCCAGAGGCCTCAGCGGCAGGGTATCGCATGCAGTCCCTAGGCCAATCTCGGGACACCCTTCGCGCGCTTCGTGGCCCCAGGGAGGCCCACTGGAGCCCTCAGAGGCAGGGTAGCGCATGCGGTCCCCGCTGCAAATTTTGGCACACCCCTCACGCGCTTCGTGGCCCTGCAGAGATTCTCCCCTTTCGCGGCGCATTAGCGATGAACATTGGGCCACTTCATGAGCTATTCGTAGCTGCCGTGGATTGGATCTTCAGGCTGATGTTGCGTCCTCAGTATGATATGCAGCGCCGCGTGTATTCTCTCCTTGCCTTCCTTCTTCTCCATCCAGCAACAGTGCCCAGACGAGCCCCATGCGGGAGCACGCACGCGGCGGAGCAGAGAGGAAGAGGGAGGTGCAGTGCAGCGGCCAAACCGAAGCTCGGGATCTGCCCGAGCAGACCCGGAGTCAACTGGAAATGGTTTCGATCTGGGAGCAGCTTGGCAGCTCGCCTGGGCAGAATGTTGGCCTTGTCTTGTGGAGGACGATCAATGTAGAGGAAGCATGTTTCCAAATACTTTCCAGATGTCTAGAACATGTGTTAGACATGTTGTAAGCATGTAAGAATCATGTTTAAAACATGTTCAGCACATGTTCTGACAGTTTGAACACGTGTAGAGTTCAATGATAGGACTGTTGGGGTGTCAATTGTCGTGGCATCCGCAACAATAGGTTGGCCTTGTTGGAGCCATTTGGGATGCCTGTCGGGCCCTGGCGGCGCTCCTCGTGGTCTCTCTGTCGAGGGCCCTCGTGGGGCCAGATTGGAGGACACGCAGTCGTGGAGCCATCTTGGGGCTCTCTTGTGGCCCTCTTGGGTCCATCCTGAGGCCTTGGAAGGCAATGTAAAGCGCCATGGCGAGAAGGACAACACGATGTAGTTCCCATAGGCTTTGGAAGGATGTCATAGGTGTGACAATCTTCAGCCGCCGTAGGGGCATACTGAGCCACTGCTGAGGCCATCTTGGGTCCACACGCCTCCCCAGGATTTCCCCGAGAAAGCTTTCCGAAACATATGACTTTTTGTTCAAGGACGCCGCAGGGAGGGGGTGGAGGCGTTTTGGTTTGTGCGTTGTTCCCCAGACGGGAAACGCAACGGTGGGGCCGGGGTGGGGTCGGCCGTAGAAACACATATAGAAACCCACCGGACAACAACGACGCATTGTTCTAAGACGCCCCAGCGTGCAGTGGGCTCGTTGGCGGAGTGACAGCCGTTATCGTCGAGAACGCTATGGCCAACGGGAAGGAGGATACGGAGGAGATGCAACTGCACTTGCGAAAGAAGCTTAAGAAGATCCTCCCAGAAATCGACGAAGTGTTCGACAGGCTTGACGTAGACGGTAATGACAGCCTGGAGATGGAGGAGTTGGTAAAGGCGGCCGAAGACGGCAATCTAACCTTTCCACTGGACATACAGTCCTACGTCGACCCGTACAAGCTCATTGACCTATTCGAATTTCTTGATTCGGACCGCTCTGGAGTGATCGAGAGAGCAGAGTTCTTCGACGGCATCTGTGCCCTCGTAGTGTCGTCCGTGCCCCTGGAGACGACGCAGATTCTGCAGCTGGTGAGGAAAAGCCACAACGTCCTCGTGGACATATGCGCGGAAGTGACGAAACTGTCGGAAGCTTGCCTGACAAGCGACACTGCCCTGTTGCCGCAACGACCAGCAGGGAAACCTTACTGTGTGTTGTGATCTCCCGAGGGCCGACACGGGGGCGCCGGCTATAGGGGCAGGCTGGCAGCGCGCGCTGCAGTACACCCAAAAGACATCTGAATAAAACGCGTGGGCTTTCTTGGATTTCAGAAAAGCAACAATCTTTACTGGGCCGTGGGAGTTCTCTTGGTGCTTCATTCATCGAGGAATGTCATATATCTGGATCTGGACTGGTGCTGAGGGAAACGCTTTTAATGAATGAGTTGATCTTAGCGTCAACGCTTCTTAATTTAACGTTGGCATCCGCATTGACTTTTCTGGTTGCATCATGCATCTTCAATGAAAAAAGTTCCAAATTCGCTTGTATCCTATTGAAGGCCGTTACAAAAGGAGTCCTATTCAAAGCCGTTACAAGAAGAATGTGATTGAAAGTTTTTACACACATAATTTTGTTAAAAGCCAGTATCAAAAGGAATATGGGTGAAAACCGTTACAAAGAAAAACGGTTGAATGCCGTTACAAAAGAACTCCGATTGAACGCCATTACAAAAGGAAGCCGATTGAAAACCGTTACAACAGGAATTTTGTTGAAGACCATCACAAAACGAATCCTAGTGACAGCCGTTACACAAGGAATCCTCTGGAAAGCCGTTGCAAAAGGAAACCGACCCTAAGCCGTTGCGCAACGAATCTGATTGAAATTGTGGAAGCGAGGAGGGTCCTGGAGGAACGGGAGAGTAGCAGGAGGGGGGGAATCGGAAGGAGGAGGGGGATGAGAAAACAGGAAGGAGAGAAATGGCGGTGACCGAGAACAGCTGATCCGCGCCATCGCACATTGTACAGCAATGTGTATTAAATTTGCGAAATCATGAAGCATCACAAAACCGTATTCAGCTGCGGGTTGATTCATGTGTTCTTAGTTGGTAGTTCTTCTTTTATAAACGGAGGGAGCAAACAAATCATTAACGACACAACCTCTTCGCGCGTCTTGCGCAAACAATGCATGAAAAACGAGAAGCATATTGGGGGCATCGTAAGATGTAAGCATGTGTATGTGTGTACGTATACGTATATGTACGTGTAGTTGTATGCGCATGTGTATGCGTATATGTACGTATCTGTGGATGAGTGCATGCTTGTGTTGACGTATGTGCGTAGCACCCCCCAGTGGCGGACGAGAGTGATGGAGGCAGTGGGGACGTCGGCAGTCTGCGAGGCTCTGGAGAAGCCCGCCGCAGGCGCCAAAGTTTCAAAACATGTGCAACGAGCCCGCCGTAGGCGCCGATTTTTTCTTCAAACCGATCGGTCGCGGGTGGATCGCGGAGTGTGTCGCGGGTGGGTCGCAAGTGGGTCGTGGGTGGGTCGCAGGTGGGTCGCGGGTGGGTCGCGGATGGGTCGCGGGGTGGGTCGCGGGTGGGTCGCGGGTTGGGTCGCGGGTGGGTCGCGGGTGGGTCGAGGGTGGGTCACGGTGTGGGTCGCGGGCGGGTCGCGGGTTGGGTCGCGGGTGGTTCGCGGGTTGGGTCGCGGGTGGGTCACGGGTTGGTTCGCGGGGTGGTTCGCGGTGTGGGTCGCGGGTGGGTCGCGGGGGGGGACGACGATAACAAACAACATCAACAACACCAACGACATCAACAACAACGCAACAAGCATAATCTTCACCACGGATTCTCACTTTAGCTACGCACCCAGGGACAATGAATGACCGCTCGGCCCCCTCAATATGATAATACGTTTATGTATACTACACGTATATTGGTGTGTAAGTGCACGTGTATGTGTATGTGCATGTGCACGTGTATGTATATATTATATATGAATATGTATTTGTAAACGCATAAGTATTTGAGTAGAGCGATGGGCATATATATATATATATATACACATGCGTAAATGTTTCGTCGACGCAGTCGCTCCCTGAAGCTGCTGCAGCCACCGGGGGCCCCCGACAAGTGCCTGACGGGTCAGTTTTCGGTGTCGCCGCTCCGTCTGGTTTTTGAGCCACGGGGGGGTCACTACAAGTGTTCGAAGGGACCGTTTTCGTCCTCGCCGTCGCTCCTCTGAGCTGCTGAAGCCACGGAGGGGGTCCCTGCAAGGGATAGGAGGGACCGTTGCCGTCGTCGCCGCCGTTCTCTTTAGCCTTTTCCCTACCTAGGCTCTGCCTAGAAGGGTTCTTAGTCTCTTGGCTTAAAGGGGCCGGGCAGTGTAAATCGCAACGGGCGGTTCCCCCAGTCCCCTGGGAGCCAAGCAAAAGCAACAGCAAAAGTAAAAGCAACAGCAAAGGTAGATGTAGATGTGGATGTAGGTGTAGATGTAGATGTATATGTAGATGTATATGTAGGTGTAGATGTAGGTGTAGATGTAGATGTAGATGCGAGTCTCGCTGTTGATGTAGATGGAGATGTAGATGCAGGTGTATATGTAGATGTAGCTGAAGGTGTAGATGTAGATGTAGGTCTAGATGTAGATGTAGGTGTCGATGTAGGTGTAGGTGTAGATATAGATGTAGATGTAAAGGACTCCCCAGTGCCCCCCGTCATCTCCGTGCCTGCTTGCTTTTGCTGCTGTCTCGGCGACTTGCTGCCTGCTTCTGCTGCTGCTTCACTTACGGCGTGGCGTCGGTGGTTCTTGCGCTACTACTACTACTACTACTACTACTACTACTACTACTACTACTACTACTACTACTACTACTACTACTACTAATACTACTACTACTACTACTACTACTACTACTACTACTACTACTACTACTACTACTACTACTACTACTACTACTACTACTACTACTACTACTACTACTACTACTACTACTACTACTACTACTACTACTACTACTACTACTACTACTACTACTACTACTACTACTACTACTACTACTACTACTACTACTACTACTACTACTACTACTACTACTACTACTACTACTACTACTACTACTACTACTACTACTACTACTACTACTACTACTACTACTACTACTACTACTACTACTACTACTACTACTACTACTACTACTACTACTACTACTACTACTACTACTACTACTACTACTACTACTACTACTACTACTACTACTACTACTACTACTACTACTACTACTACTACTACTAGTACTGTTAGTACTACTACTACTACTACTACTACTACTACTACTACTACTACTACTACTACTACTACTACTACTACTACTACTACTACTACTACCCCTACTACTACCGCTACTGCTACAACGACGACGATGAGGAGAAGGAGGAGGACGGCGTCTACCGTTCCTACTCATGACGTTTTCCTAGAGGTTCCAACTCCTAGGTAGGGTCGCACTGGGATAATTTGGCCACTGGGGATCACTGCCAGGGTTCGGAGGAAGCGTTTTCGTCGTCGCCGTCGCTCCGTTGAGCTGCTGGATCGACCTCGGGGCCCCTGCAAAGGCTGGAAGGGTACTTTTTCGTCGTCGCCGGCCTTCCGTTGAGCAGCTCAAGCCACCAGAGGGTCCCTGCAAGGGTTCGGAGGGGCCGTTTTCGTCTTCGCCGTCGCTCTCTCGAGCTGCTGGAGCCGCCGGGGGTTGCCTGGAGTTCATACTGACCAGGGCCCGCGTCCCTTCGGGGAGCTGGAGTTTCGGGCAGAGCTCCCAGAGGCCGATTTCCGCTGCTTCGGGTTGCGCTCGCTGCGTTCAGAAAATTGATACGAGACCAGAACATGTCAAACAGCTGCTCTTCATCCTTCATATATCATAGACCTGAGTATGTCTTACAACTGTTTTTGTTCGTGGGGTAGCAGCCCACGAGTACCATCAACAGCTAGGAGCGCCAAGCCGCATGGGCCGGGGGGGCCCGCCCCAGCGGGTTGCAACCGCGGTGCAGGCGGAGGCTGCACGTAAGGGAAAAACTTCCCTGGCCGCGCGCAAGTTGGTTGAGTGGGATGCGCAGTCCACAAACACGTGCACAGACAATGGACGTTAAACACCCTATCGGGTGAGTATCTGATCGACCGCGGCCCATCACGCCACCATGCTCGGGTTGTGGGCCAGCGGCCTTCTGCATGTTTGTGACAGGCGCGTGCGCGTGCGCTGGCGGCACGAGTGTTTATTCTCAGAGAACAGCATTATGCTTGATCGTGTAGCATGGCGTCGAAGTGATAGGCGCTCGATCGACCGACGACTTGCCAGGGTTGTGGAATGAGACATCTTGGTAAATCGTGATGCCTCCCTGGGAGACCCCTCGCGAGCCTCTTGACTGCTGGCGCAACAGGTAGCCGAATTGCCGCTGCAACAAATGACGACGCCCGCCAGTATTACGCGCCGTCGCGTTGCTCTCGGGGTTCGCTGCAATGTGCGCTCAAGAGTAGGTTCTGCTTCTCCCCGCAGTTTCAGCCGCTGCGGCTGCAATGTGCGCTCAAGAGTTGGCTCTCCTTCTCCCCGCAGTTTCAGCCGCTGCGACTCTCTCGCTTCGTCGCAACGGGGCAGACCGCCGCGATCGCCCACGCAGAGAGATCCGAGCCCACGTCGTTGGAAAAACTCGCGACCCATCGGTCGGCCGGATGACATTGGCCCGTTCAACCCCACTGCCCGCTTGCAGTGCCCGCTTCGCCCGTTGCCTTCCGGCTCCGCCGAGGGCGGCGTCGCGCGCTGGGCCTATCGCGACGGCTCGTTCGGACAGCGCCGGTCTCGGGTTCGTCTGCATGCTTTCGGCGATCTTCCAGCTCGACCGATGCGTTGAGATGCGTCGATGGTCGGCGCGATCGATAGACATTCGACAGATCCTCCCTGGTCGATCAAAGCAACGGCCGATCCGATCGTTCGGGCGAGCGGGCGCGCCATCTGATCCATGGTCGGGCGGCCGATCGGCGAGGGGGCCGGCTTGGCCGAGGCGCGGCAAGGCCCCTTGGACTGTCGCAGAATCCGTGCCCATTTCACAGATTGCTTCTGGAATCCAATTATTAGCTGGTTTGGCTGTTTGAGCTCATGATTAGAGCATATCTAACTAGCTTCGGCCCATCCCGCTTCCGTGCCTGCATTGTCGCTCAGAGGCCTCGTTGGGGGCCTCTCAGGGGGTCTCCTGGAGACGGCTTTGAGGCCCCTCGGACAACTGCAGAGGCTGATTTTGGCTTGTTGCGGGGCCTCTTGGAGCTTATGATTAGATTGATATCAATGTGCTGTCTCTCAATGTAGCCAATGGCAACGACGTGGGATTGCGGAGTGACCAGCCAGGTCGCGTCGTCCAGCTGCCACGTCGACGACGTCGGGGTGGT